GGTTCTGCTGTTCTGCTTTTTTTTTTTTTTTTTTTTTTTTTTTTTTTTTTTTTTTTATAAATTAATTTTTATTGGTGTTCAATTTACCAACATACAGAATAACACCCAGTGCTCATCCCGTCAAGTGTACCCCCCAGTGCCCGTCACCCATTCACCCCCACCCCCCACCCTCCTCCCCCTCCACCACCCCTAGTTCATTTCCCAGAGTTAGAAGTCTTTATGTTCTGTCTCCCTTTCTGATATTTCTCACACATTTCTTCTCCCTTCCCTTATATTCCCTTTCGCTATTATTCATATTCCCCAAATGAATGAGAACATACACCGTTTGTCCTTCTCCGGTTACTGTGGCCAAGTTCAAAAAGGGTGTTGCCTGAGTTCTCCTCTGGGATTTTGATGGAATCTTGTCTCACATTTAGATCTTTCATCTATTTTGAGTTTATCTTTGTGTATGGTGCAAGAGAGTGGTCCAGTTTCATTCTTCTGCATGTGGATGTCCAATTTTCCCAGCACCATTTATTGAAGAGACTGTCTTTCTTCTAGTGGATCGTCTTTCCTCCTTTATCGCATATTAGTTGAGCATAAAGTTCAGGGTCCACTTCTGGGTTCTCTGTTCTGTTCCATTGATCTATATGTCTGTTTTTGTGCCAGTACCACACTGCCTTGATGAACACAGCTTTGTAGTACAACCTGAAATCTGGCATTGCGATGCCCCAGATATGGTTTTCTTTTTTTAAAATTCCCCTGGCTGTTTGGGGTCTTTTCTGATTCCACACAAATCTTAAAATAATTTGTTCTAAGTCTCTGAAGAAAGTCCATGGTATTTTGATAGGGATTGCATTATACGTGTAAATTGCCCTGGGTAACATTGACATTTTCACAATATTAATTCTGCCAATCCATGAGCATGGAATATTTTTCCATCTCTTTGTGTCTTCCTCAATTTCTTTCAGAAGTGTTCTGTAGTTTTTAGGGTATATTTTGAGAACCATTTGAATGGTAAATGGTTCTCCAACCTTTTATTTTCAGGTTGTAGGTGTCCTTCTGTCTAAAATGAGTCTCTTGTAGACAGCAAATAGATGGGTCCTGTTTTTTTATCCAGTCTGAAACTCTGCGCCTTTTGATGGGGTCATTAAGCCCATTCACGTTCAGAGTTACTTGAACTTCTTCTTAAAGGGGAGTTTTAAGAGTCCCCCTTAAAATTTCTTGCAGAGCTGGTTTGGAGGTCACATATTCTTTCAGTTCCTGCCTGTCTTGGAAGCTCTTTATCTCTCCTTCCATTTTGAATGAGAGCCTTGCTGGATAAAGTATTCTTGGTTGCATGTTCTTCTCATTTAGGACCCTGAATATATCCTGCCAGCCCTTTCTGGCCTGCCACGTCTCTGTGGAGAGGTCTGCTGTTACCCTAATATTCCTCCCCATGAAAGTCAGGGACTTCTTGTCTCTTGCTGCTTTAAGGATCTTCTCTTTATCTTTGGAATTTGCAAGCTTCACTATTAGATGTCGAGGTGTTGAACGGTTTTTATTGATTTTAGGGGGGGATCTCTCTATTTCCTGGATCTGAATGCCTGTTTCCCTTCCCAGATTGGGAAAGTTTTCAGCTAGGATTTGTTCAAATACATATTCTGGCCCTCTGTCCCTTTCGGCGCCCTCGGGAACCCCAATTAAACGTAGGTTTTTCTGCCTCAGGCTGTCGTTTATTTGCCTTAATCTGTCTTCATGGTCCTTCAATTGTTTATCTCTTTTTTCCTCAGTTTCCCTCTTTGCCATTAACTTGTCTTCTATGTCACTCACTCGTTCTTCCACCTCGTTAACCCTCGTCGTTAGGACTTCTAGTTTGGATTGCATCTCATTCAATTGATTTTTAATTTCTGCCTGATTGGATCTAAATTCTGCAGTCATGAAGTCTCGTGAGGCCTTAATGCTTTTTTCTAGAGCCACCAGTAGCTGTAGAATAGTGCTTCTGAATTGGCTTTCTGACATTGAAGTGTAATCCAGATTTTGTAACTCTGTGGGAGAGAGGGCTGTTTCTGATTCTTTCTTTTGAGGTGAGGTTTTCCTTCTAGTCATTTTGCTCAGTGCAGAGTGGCCAGAAACAAGTTGTATTGGAACACGGGGGAGTATCACTGGTCCGTCCAGCTGGTCTTCTGGGGGAGGGGCCTGTTGCGTTGATTTTCAGGTGTTAGCACTTGGGGGAGCTGCTCTGCCCCTGCCTGCTGCAGGGCTCTGCGGGGGTTGTTTACCCCGCCAGGCCCCAGGAGGAACAGCAGCAGTTGCTATGGCAACTCTGGAAGCCTGGATTCAGCCTCCGCAGGAACTATGGGGCTCGGGGCTCTCGGCTCTCCGTCCGCAGGGCCTGGAGGCTCCGGGGCGGGGCCGCTGATCTGCTCAGCTCGGGGCAGGAGCGTCCTCGCTGTCTCGGGCCCTCCCGGCCTCTGCCTGTCCCGGGGGAGGCCGGATCCTGGGCTGTGTCCCGGCGCCCTGTGCTCCGGGGCCTGCGCTGGTGGATTCGCGCTCCCGCCCTGCAGCTCCCTCCCTGGAGCCGCTCCCGAGCCCCTCCGAGCTGCTCCGGTCGGTCCCGCCGTGCGCGCTGCAGCCCTTAGGGAGCTCGGTGCACTCTCCTGCGCTCGCAGGTGTCTGTTAGTGTCCCCGGGAGCCCGAGGGCATCCCCGCCCTCCTGGGTCCTGCTCCACCTCCCTGCGAGCCCCTTTCCGCCCGCCCGGGAAGGTTGGTGCAGCTCCTGCTCCTCCGGGACGGGGCTCTCCTGTCCTGGGGACACTCGCCCCGGCCTCAGCCCGGCTCCTCGCGGGGCCCCTCCCCCTCGGAGGCCTTTTGTTCCTTTATTTCTTTTTCCCCGTCTTCCTACCTTGATAGAAGCGTGAACTCTTCTCACTGTAGCATTCCAGCTGGTCTCTCTTTAAATCTCAGGCCGAATTCGTAGATTTTCAGGATGATTTGAAGGTTATCTAGGTAATTTGGTGGGGACAGGTGATTTGGGGACCCTGCTCTTCGCCATCTTGCCCCTCCCTCGACCTGCTGTTCTGCTTTTACCAATTTTTTACCTTTGACATTTGGCTCATTAAATCCCAGCCTTCTTTTCTATCTGCTTATAAGGCTATAAGCCTCTCCTAGACGCAGGGCTAGCTGTGTTTTGGCGTGCATCTTCATCACCATTCAGGTCTGAGGATGTCCCAATATCTTTGATCCATTTAGAAGTGCTTCCTATCTTCCAAATATATTTTAGTTTTCTTTGTAACTTGTTTGTTATTGCCTTTTAGTTACGTGGTAGACCTACGCTATAATATGTAGGGTATCTGCATTTGTTTTGTGACTTACCATGTGGTCAACACTTGTTAATACTCTGCTAGAGCTTGCAAACATTTTTATCTGTGTCTAAATATATCTTTTAGGGGCACCTGGGTGGCTCAGTCGGTAAGCATCTGCATTCGGCTCAGGTCATTGTCCTGAGGTCCTGGGATGGAGCCTCATGTGGGGCTCCCATTCAGCCAGGCATAAGCTCTCTCTCTCTCTCTCTCAAATAAATAAATACAATCTTAAAAAACATATACTTTTAAAATCAAGACTGTTGTCAGTTTCACAAAAATTAAAAAGCTTGAAGAGTGGGAATCCCTGGGTGGCTCAGCGGTTTGGCGCCTGCCTTTGGCCCAGGGTACGATCCTGTAGTCCTGGGATTGAGTCCCACGTCGGGCTCCCTGCGTGGAGCCTGCTTCTCCCTCTGCCTGTGTCTCTGCCTCTCTCTCTTTCTGTGTCTATCATGAATAAATAAATAAATAATCTAATTCTTTTTTTTTTTTTTTTAAAAAGCTTGAAGAGTAAAAATGTCAGGGTGCAGGGCAACCAAACACTTACACCTTGGCCATGGGCATGTAATTTGCTCTAACCCAGTCTGGTTTTATCCAGTAAAGGTGCAGAGGGCGGCATATAGGCCACCGCCAAACATGCCACTTTGGCCTAAGGATTATTTTGAGCTAAAGACTCTTGAAAAACGGCAGGTTTAAGAATGGTGCTCTGACCTTTCTTTGTCTCCCCCAAAGCAGGACATAAAAATCCCACGTGAAAGATGCCCTCCCTACCCAGGGGAAAAGGAACATTCTTATCACCAGAGACAGGGAAGTGAGCCGAGAAAAATCTATAGGAACAGATCTTGTAAGAATGCACCTTGCCTTCCTTTCATCTCTCCATATGTTTCTGCTACTTTCCCACCATCGCTATTCTTTGCTGAACCTGGCGGGGAAGCCTTGGGCCTCCCCACTTTGGTTGGGGCTGTTTTCCTGTGGGGTCTCTCATGTACCTGTGCAAACCCCCAAGGTTTTCTCCTATTCACCTGTCTTAGGTCAGTTGGATTCTCAGGCTCAGCCAGAGACCCTAAGAGAGTAGAGCTAGAATTTGCCTCCCCTGTGGGGGAGCATGCATGTGCCCTCGGACTCCGTGATTGCATTCTGGGTCCACACGTGAGAGACACGTGGAAGCTCTGAGACAGAGAAAGTTCACAGCAGCATTTGCATAATGACAAAGTTCTTGATTGCTATGTGGAATTTCAGTGCCAGTTTGAGTCCTGAACCTGCTGGTTGGCAGAAACTCCATCTCTATAGTTTCTGAGATCTTGTGTTTTCTTCCTCTGCTCCAGAGCCATAGGGGGTAGAGGGCTTCTGCGGAGTGGGGGGTTTGACGTCAGGAAGGGGGAAGCTGGTCCTTGGGGACATCCCTGTGCTGGCATCTCAGCGTCGTTGTCATTTATAGATAGTGTAATTTGAATTTCTGCTTTTCTGACAGCTGCTGATGAAGGCCTGTGAAGAAGGATGGTGTTCCTGTCGGTCGGTCACTGTGGCCTGTACTGTCTGTCTCCCTGAGTGGACTGTGACTGACTCAGGCCTGATGCAGCACGTGGCTCCTCACGGATGCTCAGGAGATGTTTATGCATCAGAGAGAGTGAGTTCCCTCCATGCTAGCCATGCATTCATGCATTTGCTCATGCCTTGTAGGTCAGACCTGCACCAGGCCCTGAGCATCCACGTGAGCGCAGAGACCAGGCCCTGCCCTGGGAGGGCAGGTGTGCTGGTTGGGAAAGCCCAGTCGGAAACAGCTCAAGTCCTACCCAAAGAAGGTAATTTTGGATGGCGGTAAGTTCTGTGAGCAACCACAAGACTGGGGACCAATATGGGGATGCTTGAGCTGCCAGGGGCGGGGAAGGCCTCTCTCTGAGCTGAGCCCTATGTGGGAAGAGAGCACCAGGCAGGGGAACAGCAGAGGCAAAGTCTCTGAGGCGGAGAAACAGAGTAAGAGCCAGCCTCCTTAGGAGGCTGGGCCAGATGGGAGTCATAGGGATCACGGGGGCACTGGGGGCTGTGGATTTCCAGGTTTCCACATATCTGTTCTCCAAGGGTTTTACCCAGGAGAATAGGGGATTTGATGCTGAATCAAAATTGCTTGCTCTGGCCGTGCCATGTAGAAAGTTGCTGCAGCAAACAGGAGCTAAAGTGAACTCCAGGCCCCAGGAGGGCAGCCAGCAGAGGATGGATGGGTTCCCGCTACACTAACATGTACCTTTAGGTGCCTAAGAAGCATAGAGGTCCGTGGGGCGCCTGCGTGGCTCAGAGGGTCGTAGTGAACGGATTGAATTATGTCCCCCCCCCCAAGAGATATGTTGAAATCCTACCCCCCATGCCTGTGGATGTCACCTTATTTAGAAGTAGGTTCTTTGAAGTTGTAATCAAGTTAAAACGAGGTGGTTAGGGTGGGCACTAAGCTAGTATGACCCGGTGTCCTGATAAGTAGAGGAGACAAGGCACAGACAGGAGAGCGCCACATGACAGTGGCGGCGCCATTTGTCATCCACGGGAGGAGGATGGCTGGTGACACCAGAGGCTAAAGGAAAGGCAGAGAAAGATTCCTCCCCTAGAGGCCTTGCAGGAGCGCAGCCCTGCCAACACCTTGATTTTGGAACCGGGAGAGAATAGACCTCCGCTGTTTTCAGGCACCCGGTGGGCGGTAGGTGGCTCGGCAGCCCTGGGGAGCCAGCGCGTCCCTCCACGCTGCCCAGCTGTGGTCACAGTCACCGCGGGCCCTTTGCAAACTGGCCCCTGTGGGGCCTGCAGGTCCTGATGGCAGGACTCTCTGTGAAATCTGCCACAACATCTACCCCCAAGATGACCCCAAAGTACTCCCAAGAGCCATCTGGTGCATGAGGAAAAGCTCTTGGGTGGTCCCCTAAATCAGCATCACTGCCCAGTTTCTGAGTTCTGCAGGTTCTGGGGGTGCCATCCCTTGGGGGACACCCCGTGCCCTCCCCTGAGTGTCCATGGGAGCAAGGTGTCGCCAAGACCCAGCCAGGCTACCCTAGCTTCCCCGGGGTGCCTTACTGTTTTCCTTGGCCTCCTTCTAGATTTTAGAAGACAAAAGGAAAGTTCCAGCTCCTTGCCCTTTCCCTACCCCAGGCCCTGAGATCTGATCTCTCACTTAAACAAAGCCCCTCCTTCATGTCAGTTTGGGAGACACTATGTTCTGAAAGTAGATCCCTGGCCCCCCACCCCTCACCCCCAGGGAGCTGCATTTCTGGATTCTTGCCTTTTTCAAAGCCAGCCTTTCATCTGGCCCCTCCTGCCCCACCTCCGAGCCCTTTCATGAAGGAAATTAAATTCTTCTGAACTTTGAGGTCCCTCTACAGCTCTGCTCCCTGTGGGACTGGAGCCACCACCAGCTAAGTAACCCTACCCAGCAAGGTGAAGATTTACGCTGGCTTGAGAGGCACGGTTTCATCGAGACACTTGAAAAATAAGCCAGTGAGCTGGGGAGCCAGAGCTGTGAGCTGTTCCCAGCTGGGAACCCGGGTATCTGGGTTCAAGTCCCGGTTCTGGCAGTTGCTGGCTGTGTGCTCTTGAGCAGTGAACTCAACCTCTCGGAGTCTGGATTTTTGCCTTGGTGAAGTGGGGACATGGAGATGTTTGTGACGAAGTTTGTGGTGAGGATTCCATGGGAGTTTAGTAATTGGAAAGCATTTGTATTTTTGCCTTCCAGAAGCGCTCATTTTATAGATGAGAAGGAAGGAGGCCTCTCAGGCCTGTGACCCCTTAGGCTGTGGAACCCTGCAGGGTGGGTTCGGTTGGCTTACGGGTGTAGGCGAGGGTCAGGCTGCAAGGTTCCTGCAAGCTCTTGGCTCCTGGCATGTGTGAGAGGAGTCTGAAGGCCACCTCGCATCCACTCAGTGATTTAATCCCACCTGCAATGGCCGTGCAATGGGGGAGACAACACTGGCCAGGCAGCAGAGAGGGGCAACTGCCATCGTGTGCATGGGGCCTGGTGCTGCACCCTTTGGGGGATGATTGTTCCCACCTCCCCTCTTTTCCCTGCCTCATTTTGCCCCTAGACCTGTGAGTAGCACGGCTACCAACTCTGCATTGACAGGGGAAGAAAGTGGAACCCAGGAGGGAAACCATCTTGCCCAGGGTCACTCAGGGCCCCTGAGGTAAAGACTTTTTCTTGTTAGCAGAAGGGGAAGATTGGACTAAGATGTAAGGAAGGAATGAAAATAATGTCCTCCATCTACTGTCCAGGAAAGATTTGTTTCTTGTGGCCCCAGCATGAGGTAAAGCCTGCCATCTTGGCTCCCCCTCCCCTTTTTTGGTCAGGAGGCAGCAGAGGGGTGGAGGTCAGGGAGGACAGGCTTGGGGTCTCCTCATTCTGCTCTCAGGGGATTTTCTTTTGGTGGCTTTTATGTCTTCTGTCTGTATCCTTGCCTCTTTCTCCCTCTCCATCTCTTTCTCTTGCTTTCTTCTCTGCTGTTTTGAATACTTGAGCAAAAGAAAGTAGAGGAAAAAAAAAAAGAAAATGTTCTCCTTGATCAAAGAGTCTGAGACAGATACATAGTTGGCTTTTGGGGGGAGAGTGTTGTGGCAAGGTGAGTAGTGGGGTAGCTGGGGGAGTGGGGAGTTAGGGCCCCACTTGAACCAGCCCCATGACAGGTCCCAACCCTAGAACCAAGGAATCAGAAGGCCCTACAGGCTCAGGAAGAGTGTTGCAAACCAAGAGATTCTTTCCATTCTGGGGACATGTCAGGCCCCCTCATACCTCTGGGCTCTGGCAGGTCCTGTTGTGTCCCCTGGAAGCCTCTCCCAGCTCCTTGACCTGAGTAACTCTTCTTCATTCTTCAGAACACAGCTTGGGCATCTGGAAGCTTCCCTGACTGCTCTTCTTGCTTTGTCAGAGCACCCAGTACCTGTCCTGTCATCACCAGAGACTTATTTCTCTCTTGCTGGGCTGTGTACCCCGAGGACAGGGCCTGAGTCCTGTGCACTATACTGTCTCCCATGCCCGAGATCCTGGTCCCCAGTGGGGCTCAGTCAACGCTTGTTGAATGAATGATGAACAATCAATCCCATGAGGGTTTTTTTGCACCGTGTGCACCAAAGGTTGTTGGCTCCGGATCGCACCCCACCAGGCTCACCTATATTCCCAAACCACATCATTTACATGAGCTTGACCTTTATCCACAGAGATCCAGACGCTGTCTCTCTCTCCTTTTCTTCCTCAATTTATTGGGGACTGATCATATTTATGCTAGGTGCTGGGGACACAATGGTGAGCCACAAGTCAAACACAGTGTCTCTTCCTTCTTGGATAAATCACAGAGCTAAAGATGAAATTACAACCACGATCAGTGTGGTGGGGAGAGTGCTGAGAGCATAATGGGATTTGTCCCAGTCTGGGAACTCAGGGCGAGTGGTGGTGCCCTGGGCACCTTCTAATCTCTCTGGCCTCTTCTCAGCCATCCCTGGTGATCCTCCGGGCTTAGGAAAACCTGCAGCCTATTCACAAAAATACAACTCTGAGACAAGCTTGCTCTCTCTCACCCCCCACCTTAGCCTCTTGCCCTAAGTTGACATTTGAGACCCACTCAGGCAAGACTTCCTGAAGTGCCAGTTGAGCTGGCATCTTTCTTCTTTTATTTGTCCTTCAGTTTCTTTCCCACCTAAGTGGGGCTTCCAGGCGTAAGGATGGACAGGAGAAATTTTATCTTGGAAGGGGTATTGTAGGGCTGTAAAGTGATGGCACTGTGAAATCACAGAGTGGCATTCTTTCCTCTGGGCAGACCTAGCCAACACCTGGGTACCAAGCTCCTCTGGTAGAGAGTGGACTGCTAACCCATCCACTCATTGCCTTTGTGCAGTGCCCAGCCTGTGCATCTGTTCAAGGCAGCCCAGGGCATTCAGCTTCCGAACCCAGCTTGGGGAAGCCAAGGGCAGAAGAGAAGGAAAGCCCCATTGGGAGGCTTCTGGGAACCGGAAAAGTGCATTTCCCTGCTTCCAAAGGCCTCTCTGACTGCTTTCAATACCCCTTTCAGTTGCTGCCAGTACATAGCCCTACAGCTCCCAGTCCTCACCCTCTGGCCATGGGCTTTCCCAGGGAAGAAATTTCAGCTCCAACTTTTTCAAGGGTTGCAAGCCAGGCTATTCTGAGGGTGGTAAAGCAGGTGGAGAGGGAGCTCACAGTGAAGGGGAGAACAGCGTGTTTATCAGTTTGCTCAGGCCGGGGAGGAAAATATTCAGGGGCTTTCAGATCCATGGCGTGAACAGATGGAATTAAAAGGAGAGTCTGGACCTGAATGACAAAGTCCAGGGTTTGGCAAGCTGTGCTCACAATCGTAGCATGTGTGCTCATGCCTCATCCCAGAGCCCCCAGGAGCGTGCCCTGCATGCACAGATGAGGGTAGAAGTGGGGGAGCTTGGCTCCAGTTCCCCTCAGGGAAGCAGTCGGAGGCGGTGGGCAGAGTGGGGGCCACGGCATGGCAGGGGCAGCGAGAGCCTCCTAACGAGGTCCTCACGCCCCGCTGAGCGGGTGCCGGTGAGCAGGAGCCATCCATCATCGGTGGGGATAATTGTTCAGGGAGCCAGGGGGGCCCAGCCAGATGTGCGCCTTTTGGACTCCATAAGAACGAACACTCCCTTTCAGGCCATTTATCAAATTTAGCTGGATCTCTCATCTTTTTTTCCGTTTGTTTCCGTCAAGGAGACTTTCTTCTAATGAAGACGAATGCAGAGCGATGAGTGACTTGGCAAAAGCCAACGCAGTCAGAATACAGGCTTCATTCAGGGAAGTGAAAAACCCAGGTGGTGCTGAGTTTGGAGAAATGTCTGAGAGCATGCTGAGTGCCCAAGCCTTGAAGGGGTTCTACTGTGGATCTGGGGGTACAGCCGGCTCCTCTCTGATGAAGCTCCACCTTCAGCTCCCAGAGCAGAGGTAAGAGCTTGACCCACCATTCCCTGACACCAACTCTGTGCCAGGCGCCTCAGCTCATTCTGACGTGCAAGGGGACATCATGATCCCATTTAGCAGATGATGAGACCGAGGCTCAGAGAGGATAAGCAGGTGGATTTGAACACCGTGCTTCCGGTTCAAGAGCCCACCTTCACACACGCCAGCAGTGTGGTTCGTGAGCCAAGGGGTCAAGGCTCTTTAGACCGCCTGGTTCGACTCTCCACCCCACTGCTTACTAGCCTGGTGGCCTTGTGCTCTCGAATCTCGTTCAGTGTCTCTGTGCCTCTGGTTGTTTGGGTCATGAAAGTGCCCACCGCAGAGGGAGCTCTGGGAATACTGAATGAGTCTTTGCAGAAGCTGCGGTGCATGGTAAGCCGTGACGAGCAACCTTTTCTGTTTAGTATCAGGATATCGTTTAGTCTCTGTTTTTAGTGTTGGTGGCTTTAGGGGTAGAATTAGGATCATGCCTGGGGTGCCAGACTTGTGTAGGAATTGCCCATGACAGCCTGTGGGCCTGCCCCCTTCCTGGGGGAGGGACCTTGGCTGCTGACTGGGGCCCAAGGACTGAGTGCCTGACCCCCGGTGTCCATGGATTGTCACCTGAGGTGTCTGAGGTGTGAGGGCAGGGATGCCTTTCCCTCCTTGGCCCAGCTCCCAGCAGAGGTACCTACCTGGTTAAGGTTTGTTATCGGGAGGCTGGGGTGGGGGCAGATGAAGATGGGGCAGACAGTTGTGTACACGTGGGCAGGAGTCCTCTCTGTCCTCACTGTGTCCCCTTCACGGTGCAGGGGAAGGAGACCAACTGCCTTCCCGTGTGCTTCCAGAGTTTGGCCTGGAGCTGCTGGGCCTTGTGGAAATGGTCTGACCCTGGCTGCGTGGCCCTGGCAAGTCTTTCTGCCCTTGGGCCTCGGTCTTCCCAGCTGTACAATGGGGAAGGGATTGGACCACTTTGCCAGGGGTTTTCCAGAACTGATTTTATATCTATGGTTAAGCCATGGGTGTGGGAAGGGGGTCCGAGAAGCCCCCCAGGACAGCTCCGTGACCTTTATAGCACAGGCCAGTGGGTGCTAGACCTCAAACGGCCCAGGCCTGTCACAGACATCCTGCAGAGGTCAGCTGGGTTACTGCCTCCAGAAACAGAGCAGGAGGCATGTCTGGGGGAGGGCTGGGGGGTGGTCCACAGATGGGAGAGCCCCACGGCAGGCCTGGCCTGGGCCTGCTCATAGCCTCTGCTCCAGGCTCGCTCAGCCACTGGCTGGCTGTGGGAAGTCACATTGGCTCATGACTCAGCTTCTTCATCTGCCGTGGGTGTGATGTTAATGCCCTTGGTGGCTCAAAGGGAGGGTGTGAAGAGCCGAGGAGGACGCAGGTAGGAGAGGATCAAACCCAGAGGGAGACGACGTTGACTAAGGATCTACTTCATCCCCAGGCATAGTGTCATTTAGATTTTACAACAGTGTGAGAAGGATTATTATCTTTAGTCTATGGGGTTGGAACCTGAGGTCCTGTCTTGTCCACGGTCACCAGGTATTTGGAGGAACTGACTCAGGTGTGTCTGACCTCAGAGCCTGTGTTCCCATTCACCCTCTGCGGCCTCTCCCTGGGGGGCAGCCCCTCCCTGGGGGCAGGAGGAGGGCCTGGGCCCAGCACATGCCTGCTTTTCAGTCTGGGGGCTAGTTCTGATCGGGATGCTGTGCTGAGGAAGATTCTGAGGTCATCTGGACTTCGTGCGAAAGGGTGTAGGGACCGATTTGTGAAGTTTGTCACGGGTGAGAGGAGAGAGAGAGGCAGTCTTTGAGCTGTAATTGCTGTTCCTAGGCTAGACCTTGTTGGGGTCTTTTCCAGGCCTGGGAAGAAGCCGTTCTCCAAGGTGACTGCACCTGCACAGGTAGGATCTAGAGGCTGAGCTCATTCTCCTTTGGGAGAGGGGAGAAGTTGGAAGAGTGTTCCTGAAGGGGCCTGGGTGGGGCCAGGGCGCAAAGCTCTGCTGGGAAGGCAGCTCTGGGCTGTATCAGAGAAGATGCAAGAACAGCAGGTGACCCACAACGGCAACTGGGGGCTCCCATGAGCATGGCGGGAGGGAGAAGGGACAGCCCCAGGGCAACAACCTTCTAGGATACTGCTGCTGGGGGTGCTGAGGGGAGGCAGGAGTTTCCAGGCCTGACTTGCACCTGAAACAAAGGAGGTTGGAAGCAGAGGCTGGTGCAAATGGCCCCAGGGGTTATCTAACCCAATGCTCATTTTCCAGATGAGGAAACTGAGGCCCAGAAAGCTTGTTCCATGGGGACTGCCAATGATGTGTTTTACTTTAAATTTGAAAAATGTGGGTTGGGCTCGGTTGGCAGAAAATTTAGAGTCATGCAGAACCATAGTTGTTTGAGGGTTAGAGCCCCCATTTATTAGGGCTGTCTGGGTGTCAGGCTGCATGCTACATACTTTATAGCATCCTCTCGTGGCCCCTTCCAAGGGGTGAGGACCAGCCCTACTTTACAGGTGAGGAGCTGAGATCCAGAGATCCAGAGGGGTTCAGTTCCTTATAAGGCAGGTGGAGGAGCTGGGGCCCGGGCAGCCTGACCTCACCGCTGGGGTCACAGTCCTGGTGATGTGGACTGAGTGCGTGTATAAGAATCCCTGGGGAGCCCTGCCTCCCCTTCCCCTGATCCAGGAAGTGTGGGTGAGCCCTAAGAAGGAGACTGTGGAGCAAGCCCCCTCCCATGCCCCATCTCTAATGCAGACACAGGGTCTCTATAGACCACATTTTCAGAAACACTGCATAGGCTCTGTCTACAAATCTCCAACTGAGAGCCCAGACGTAGAAGGTGATGCATAAAAATATGAAGAGAACTCTAATAATAACAGAACATAGCTTATATATAGCTCACTATGTGCTGTATACACACTGTTTGAAACACTTTACATATATTTTTGTTCATTTAATTCTCACTATAAGCCTCTGAGGTAGTGACTATTGTCCCCATTTTACAAATGGGGAAATGAGTTACAGGAAGCTTCAGTAACTTGCCCACCGGTGCTCCCTGCACACGGGGAAGGTGCAGCCACGGAGCCTGTATGCAGGGAAGTAGAGAGGTGTGTGTCTAAGACCAGAGAGCCTGTGAGGTTGGGCAGCCCCAGGTCTGTTCCAGAGATGGAGAGATCTGAAGGCTTTGTCCTAAGCCCCAGCTAGGTTTCTAGATGCAAATCTTGGCTGTGAGCTCAGGGAGGGAGGCCGGTGGGCAGTGCCTGGCTGAGGCCCATGGAGCTGGCAGGTAGGTAGGTGGGGGCTCCTACCCATTAGGTGCAGTCTCCCTCCCCATGTTCAGGGACCCAGCAGGACCCTCGGGGGGCTCTTACCTTCTTCCCATGGACTGCTCCCATGGCACAAAGTGGGCACCAGGCCTGGGTGGGCCTTGGGGGGTCCTGGCTGGGGTCCTCTCTGCCGATGCTGATCTCAGGAGCTGGGGCCCAAGGGGTTCCCTGGGCCAGGGTCCCCCGTCCTTTCGCGGCTCATTCTTCTCAGGCACAAAGGAGGCTTTCACAGCTGCTCCTAAGCCCAGAGCTCCTCAGACAGGCTTAGGGTGATTGATGCTGTCAGAGGGGTATGGTGTCCCCAGAGGGCCCACACGTCCTGTGGTCCCTGTAGCTCCTCACTTCCTGCACCCCTGCCTCTCTCAGGAGGGGAGACTGAGGCATCCGTGGGGAAGTGAGAAGCAAAGCCGTCCTCTCACCATGCGGCCGGCAGCTTGGGTACAGCGGGTGACCTCTGGCTGGCCCAGCAGGCAGGACTTGGCCTTCTTGCCAGGCTGGGCACCGATCAGCAGACAGGCCCCAGACAGTGGAGGCTGTGTGGGCTAGCCGGGGTATGGGGCTCAGGGCAGGCCTGGCTTGTGTGGGGATGTAAACCTCGGGCTGGGCAGCAGCCCCATTAATAATAGATCTTTGAAGACACTTGGGGGCAAGGGCTCTCGCGGAGCAGAGACACTGAGAGCAGAGTACTTCATTCAACAGGACAGTAGCCCAGCTGCGGAGGGCTGGTCTGGGCTCAGGCCAGGAAACTATCTGGAGGCTGGATTCCGGGCCCTGGGCCAAGTTCTCAAAGTTCCCCCAGCACTTACCCTCCTCCTCACTTGCTACCCTCCTTCATTATTATCACAGGCATGGAGCAAGGAGGTTAAGGTCCGAACCAGCTTGGGCTTGAAACTGTCACAGACATCCTGCAGACATCCTTTCCTCACTGTTGTATGACCCGGGGTGGGGGGTGGGGTGGGGGTGCATGATTTGACCTCTGGGAGCCTCCGCTTCTTCGTGTGTGTGTTCCTATAATCACACAGCACGGGGTTGCTCTGACGGCTGAAAGAAGTAGGTGTGCACGGCCAGAGCCATTGTTCTCTTAAAGCATAAATCAGATGATGTCATTCCCTGTTTTACACTCTCCCCCTTGACGGAAGAGGGGTAACGATGGCCCCTGACCCCACGGGGCCCTGAGGATGAAATGAGGTGACTTGTGTAAAGCTCTGGGCAGAGGATTTGGAGAATAGGAACTTTCCAGAGAAGTTAGGTGCTGCTTTTTATAATGCTGTTGATGCTACTCATGATAAAACCACTGCCCACTGGCAAGTCCCAGGTAACCAGTTTGACTAAGCAGAACAGCCTTTCTTAAGAGATGGCTGGGCCAGGGAAAACTTGCAGCCCTGTCTTTCCTCTATCTAGCACAATGCCTGGCTCCGAGATGGTGAGGACTTACGGTACAAAGGATTATGAAATGGCAGTTCGTAGTGAAGGGTCAGGATCAAGTATCCTAGATCCACCTTTGCCCATAGAATCAAATTCCTCATGGTCCAACACAGTTCTGTTCCATGAAGTCTTGCTGGCCTCTCAGACCTCATTTCCCATTCTCCTCTCTGCCTGACAATTCCTGGATCATACCACCCTCCTCCTCACCCCAGCACGTTTGCACATGCTGTTCTCTCTGCTGGGAAGGTTTTCCATCTCTCTCTCTTGACTCCATTTTTAAATCTTGTGCAATTTTTTCCTTTTTATCCATTAGGCTCAAGGATCACCTCCTCAGAGAAGCCTGCCCTGACCCTCTATGCAAAGTAGCCTCCGAGGCTCTCTGTTCATTTTTTTTCTTCATAACATTTATCAGCAACTGGAATGATTTTATTTCTGCATTTATGGTTCAGCTCCTGTACCTGAATGGCAGCTCCACAAGGGCTGGGACCCAGTCTGTCTCATTCATCAGTTTACCCTCTGGTTCTAAAATAGAGCTTGGCACACTGCAGTCACTCAACAAATATTGGTGGAGTGGGTGAGTACACGATGAGGGATGAAATGAAATAGTCTAAGTCTATAGAGCGCCTGACACAGTCCGAGCTCATTGCAGGAGCTCCCTGCATGGCAAATATTAGTACTGTCCCCACCAGGCAAGCACAAACGTGGCTTCTTCCTTTGCTCCTTCTCCTGGGTCCAGCCCTTGCTTCAGCCTCCCCCCATTTCTCCCTGTTTCAGCCAGGGCTGGGGTACAGCTTCTAATTCCTGCAGTAAGGAGACCATCCACAAAATTGTAAAGGGCAGTGACTAAGTTGGCTGTCAGCCAGAGTGGTAAAAATGCCATAAGTCAACCCTGAAGATCAAACTCCTTTGGCAGCCATCCCATAATTATCCACCAGCTTGGATCCTGGTGGGATGGGAGGAGAGAAAAGGAATTTTACCCATTTATTAATTTTTCCCCATCTGCTTGGAGTCTTGCTGAAATATGACTTATGAGCTGCACTGAAAGGCTGGTTAAATGGAGGCCTTGATTGGCTGAGAGGCCGAAGCCCGGATCCTGGCAGGATGTGGGTCTGAAATGCAACAATCAGACCCCATGCCCCGGGTAGGAATGGGGGTGGTGGCCCCAGAGCCTAGTACAGGGCCAGGCACCAAGGAGGTGCTTGGGATGCGGGCACAGGTGATTTATGAAAAGACAGTTGGTGGTGCGGGGTCAGGATCCAGCGTTGCCTTGTCTCACTGTGTGGCCGGGGCACAGCCTGTAGTCTTTCTCCACCTGTGAAAAGGACATAAACACCTGCTGCTTTTTGACCTACGGTCTTGTAGAGGGAAGCAAGGCTTACAAAACAGGGGAAAGTTTTGAGACTGTTGACTCAGAGGTTCTGAGCAATTTTCAAATGTCTTCAGAGGCATTCAGGAAGAGGAGGAGGAGGAGGAAGAAAAGGAAGGAGGGGAAAGCTTGTTCGCCTCTGAGTAGTTTCAGGGCAAGTATTTCCGAAGGGCTTGTTTTCTGACTTGAGGTAGACAGGCTGGGATTCCAACCCTTAATCTGAAGCTCCTTAGCTGTGTGTCTTTGGGCAAGTCCCTTGCCCTCTCTGAGCCTCATTGTCCTCGCGTGTAAAAGGAGGCAACAATGAGCCCCACCACATGGGGCTGTGAGGATGAAATTCGTGTAACCCCCTGCACAGAGCGTACAGCAGCAACTCCCCCTAGGAGTTAGGTGCTGCAGTTACGATGCTCTTAATAACGTGATAGTAAACCCACTGCCCACTGGTAAGTCCCAAGCATCTTGTCCATTAAGCACAGCACCTTTCGCCAAACCGGCGGCCGGGGTGACCCTGCTACCTTTCCCTTTCTATCTTGGGCTGTCACCAACTGGTGAAGACCAGAATTACAGCTGCTGGGAAGCCCTGCAGTGGCTGAGGGAAGGACCCGGGCCCTCTCCGTCCTCAGTCCCAGGAGAGAGGAGCAGTGAGCTGGCGGGAAGAGGATAGGGAAATAGGAGCCCCCCATTTTGAAGGCCATGAGTAGCTTGCAGAGAGTCTGGAAGGCCTGTCCACCCTGATGATGAGAAAAACCCGTTCTCGCGTCTTGTCCGTTTTACTTCCTGAATATCCTTGGGACTGGTCCTCTTTGCTCTGTCCCAGGCCATTTCCCGGCCCAGGCCACCACTCTGGCTGATGCAGCAGCCTGCTCACTAGCCTCCCTTTCTCCACACAGCAGCCAAGAGGAATTTCCAAAAACTGCTCATCTTATCATGTCTTTCCCCAACTTCAATCTCTCAATGTCTCCTCACAGCCCCTGGACAAAGTTCAAGCCTCTTCACCCGGCCCACAGGGCCCTTATGGCTGTCACCCCTGCCCACTCAGCCCTGGCTCAGTGTGGATGCTGCTTCCTCCAGGATGCCTTCCCAGATCTGCAGTTTTCCCCCCAACATAGCCCTTATCAAGTCACGTGTCTCTTGATCTGGGGCGCCCCTGGACTGTGAGCAGGGACTGTGTCTGGTGTCCTTCCCCGTGGCATCCTCGCTGCCTACCCAATTCTCAATGCACAGCGGGTGAGTAATGACAGAATCAGACAGTCTCATGTAGGGGCTGCAGACCCAACTCTCTACAGCCATTTTCTTGGACTCTGTCTTGCTCAATCCTGAGCCAACTGGGGTCTCTACAGTGGCCACAGTGCCCTGACAATTGTGTTGAGAACCTGACAGGTATTTGCCACTTTGTGATGCCCACCCAGGGAGGGGGACCTAGAAAGGGCTGGCTCGAGAAGGCCATCTCCTTGGTGGGTTTTGGTGGTATAGCAGGATGGTTATTTGGGCTCCTTTCCACCATCTGGAGGATGTGCCAACTGAGACCTGCCCCTGGTTGAGGAGGGGAGGTGGGAGTCAGCAAGACTTGGAGCCTTTCCTCACAGGGATCAGACTCTTCACAACAATTCGTGCACACCAGGTGGTCTTGTCTCCTAGCCCAGACTCAGAAAGTGACTATGGCCAGCTGGGTGGAACTCTTTTATGATGGTTCTCCCCCCCTCCCGGAAGCCGAATTTGGGGTGAGTATTCTCATGCAAGTGATTTCTTAAGGACACAGGTAGGGGAGCAGGATAGGGAAGGGAAAACAACCAAGCTAAGTGACCTGTTCAGGTGAACTCCCAGCTGGACTCCATGGAAGAGTCCTGGGGAATGTCAATCGCACAATCCTTGTCCTGCCCTAAGACAGGGGGCCTCCGGTCTTCATGTTCCCAGCCAGGTGGCTGTGAGCTAGGGCCCACCCTGCCGCAGTGGAAACTCCTGGCTCTTCCTGGCCTCTCTTTTTTTGCTTCTGGGAGCTAAAAACAAGTAGCCTGAGGGCAGTTCTCCAAAGAGAAAACTGGGAGAGAGGACGCGGGTGGGCACGAGCCGTTCCTCCATGGCACCTTTCCAAGCTCCCCCATCCCAGGGGACACTTTCCCCAGTTCTCTGATCCAGACGGGTGACATTGCTTCAATCGTCTTTAAAGTGCTATGCAAGACAGCTTCTGGAAAAGTACCACAAGTCTTCTCTTATAACCAGCTGGCCACCCCATGTCCTTTTAAAATCGTGGCCGCTGCCAAGAGCTCTGCTTAGCCCCACTCTGGCCATGAGCTCACTTCAGAAGTCCTTATTGGTTCTTCTAATTTTATAAGGTATTCTTGCTTGTTGTAAAAATATGAAGGTGTTTATGGGTCGTAATGGAAATTTCCTGCCACCTTCATTCCCAGAGTGGGTCTCTGGCCAGACATTTTCCCAAACATTATGTAATTTTTCCCCCTCTTCTTTGACAACTTTTGGTGATGGGGATATTTTATCATATTTAATGCCCACGAACCCCTGAGAGACTGATTTAATCCCCCATTTCTCAACAGGAACTATGGCTCAGTGAGGGGACATCTGCTCACCCAGCGAGCAAGTGGAGAACCAGTGCTCAGACCCAGGCCGGGCTTTCCATCTGGCCACACTGCCTGTAATAGGTTAGGACGGGAGGTGAGTCAGCTAAGAGACTTCCCAGGCTCTCCGGCCTGCAGAAACCCCCCATTCACTCCCGGGTCGTGGGAAGGAAGGGTGACCGGGTTCAGTGGCAGCCCTTTCTAGCACTGACTGTCAGATGTGAACAGGAGACCCTGCCGCTTGGAACAAAATGGCAGGAATGGAACAAATTCATTTGCTTACGTAGCTGCCAGGCATTCTACACACACACACCTGAGTGTCTGTATAAGAGTTAGTGGGGGCTGCCAGCAAACTCCCTCTTTAGTCCTTGACCATGATCTGCACTGGGAAAATGGGGTAATGGAGTGCGGTGGCTGGCTGGGTGCCCTCCCTCTGCCCAACCTGCTCAAAGTTGTCCCATCAGGCTTTGAACACTGATCTCAACCCCACACGGCCCCTGGCCGAAGGGTCCCACACTCTTGTCCCCCTCTGTACCCCAGGCCCGCTTGGCACATTCGAAGCCCTGCCTGTCCCCAGCACCCCACACCGCTGGTGTGCCTGGGACTTGAGCGTCTGCCCATCCACTGCTCAGGACGTGAGTTCTGCAGTTGCCCTGGTCCACACTCTGGGAGCCCGGGTACCAGTATTTTTGGCTCCCATGTCCCCCTCTCAGGACTTGGTCTAGGCACCCCACCCTTGGCCCTTCTCAGAGACCTCAGGCAGGGTGTTTGTACCGTATCCCTTGGGCCTTACCACCTCCGTGGGCCCCAGTGGCGGTGTCAACGTCGCTTGGCCAAGGACTCACCGTGAAGCCGTGGGGGGGCGGGGGCACCCTTTCCTCTGTGGGGCAGACCAGAAGTGCTCGGGAGTTCACGTCAGCCCCCCCCAGCAGCCCCCAGCCCCCAGCAATGGCCCTGGCTGAGAGCCCTTCTGCTCTGAGTCCCAGGGCTCCTCGCGGAACGAAGCTCCGCTCCCCAGGGCCCCAGGCGAGCGACAGCACAGCCCTACTGCCTGCCTTCCGCACTCCCATCGGCGTTTGCCAGCGTCGCTTCCTGAATAAATCTCAGGGGCCGCTCCTGGGGTCCTCCCTGAAGCCGGCCTATTCCTCCCAGCCTTCCTCGGAGGGCCCCCCACTCCGGAACCCTCCAGCGCTCAGGGAAGGCCGCGCTCCCCGCCGCCTGTCCTGGGCCCTGGCTTTCTCTGCTCCCCGGGGTCTCGCACCTTCGGCCGGGAGCAAAGGATTCCCTCGCCTTCAGCACAATCCCTGTGAATTCAGCCTCTCCCCCAGCCTCCGACCTGGTGCCCGAAGCTGTCACCCACCGAAGCTGTCACCGACCGGTCCCAGCTTGCAGGCCGGAGGCAAACCCGGCCCGGGCCAGTTCGATCCCAGGGAGAAACGCTGCAGGTCAGAAAGTTCCTTCAAAATCAGCAAAAATAAAATTTAATTGTGCGCCGCCGGTGTGGGCAGTCCGTCCTTCCTTGGGCAGGCCCGCCGGCCGTCTGGAGGGAACGCACCCCTGTTCTTCCTGCAGACGGGCGCCTCCAGGACCCGGATGGCTGGCCCTGGGGTGGGCCACCTCAGCCCGCGGGACGGGGCTGGATCCGAAGAGGCGAGCTGCGCAGTGGGGGCCCCCGGCACTTTCCGTAGGCCCTTGGCTCCCTCCTCGCCGCGGCGGGCTCCAACCCGAGGCCAGCCAGGAGCTTCCTGGGTCCCGGCCCAGAAGAGCCACGGCGCCCTAAAATACCTTGCGGGGAACACAGCCCTCCAGCTCCAGCAGCTCCGGCCAGCCGTCATATTTGTTGGTGCCTGGGTTGTTCTTTAAGAACTAGAGAGAGAGAGAGAGAGAGAGAGAGAGAGGAGACAGAGAATGACGCAGACCACGGGGAGGCTGTTCAGGATTCACACCGGAGTTTTCACTGTGCTTTTAAAGCCTCACGCTTTGGGGATCCCTGGGTGGCGCAGTGGTTTGTGCCTGCCTTTGGCCCAGGGTGCGGTCCTGGAGACCCGGGATCGAGTCCCACGTCGGGCTCCCGGTGCATGGAGCCTGCTTCTCCCTCTGCCTGTGTCTCTGCCTCTTTCTCTCTCTCTTTCATGAATAAATAAATAAAATCTTAAAAAAAAAAAAAAACAAAAAAACCTCACGCCTTTACTCATATCACCCTGGTTTTGGCCCCATGGGGAGGCGGTGGTGTTGGACAGGACCAGCCCGTTTCACGGGTGGGGGAACGAGGCACAGAGGAACAGCAACTGCCCAAGGTTTTACAGAGGAGATCAGGGCTCAGTCCTTGCGTGTCATGCCCTGGGGGTGGGGTACCAAGTGTGTGTGTGTGGGGGGGCAGGCTTGCAGAGTGTTAGCTCCTCTGTCAAATTCTGCACCAGCCTCTTTAGGACACCCCCAAACACCACCCACAACAATGAAGAGGAGCAAGCTAGCAATTCATGAACACTTGCTCTATGCCAGGTGCAAAGTGCCTTGGGCATTTTCCCCTTACAGCAGCCCAAAGAAGGGCATACCATTGTCACCCCATTCTATAGATGGGAAACCTGAGGCCTAGAGGGCCAAAGTAACCCTAGTGGCAGAACCACTGTGTAAGGTTAATAATACAGAGAATAAAATCAGTTAAGATTGTGTTTCCAATGCCTAGGTTTTGTTTATGGAGGAAAAAAAAGTATAAACAGCAAAATCTACCAGGGGAATAATTGTGGCTAACCCTCAGGAAAAAAAAAAAAAAGGAATTCTCACGCCTTCTCCAAATCCTCGAGCCCCATGTGTGGGAAACAAAGGACCCAATGGTTTCGGGCACATCATGGTCTCCAGTTCATTCTGGATGATGAATGGAGAACACTGCGCCCCGCCGCCCATGTTCATTCTCCAGGGGCTATAAACACTGACCTTCTAACGCCCTGAATTCATTCTCTCAGAAACACACACGTGCAAACCAGACCAGCATTTTCCAGACGAGGCTGCCCTTGCAGCCCGCTGCGGTCCCCTCACCTGGAGACCAGGGTCTGACGCTGTCCCCCTGCCCCCAGCAGGCCGCCGTGCCTATGGCCTGGGCCCCTCCCTGCTTAGCCGGGGAGGCTGTGCTGAGCGTCAGGACGGGCATCTCTGCAGGCAGGCTCATGGCCCAGAGCTACGTGCGCTTCGGACCCAAGCCGCTGGTCAACACGTCTCTAGAGCTCTGCGTCCTCGACTGGGAGGTGGAGGATGGCCCTACCTACCTCACTGCGGGGATTAATTGCACAGAGCAAGTGCTTGCTGAACGCTTGTGTTTCCTACATAATCAATGCGCCCTCGTGGCTTTCCCGCCTAAGCCCTCCACGGCTCCCCATTGCCTTCAGGATGGAGCCGACTCTCCTCGTAGTCCTTTATGTTTGAGTCATTGACCCTTAGCTGCCTGCCTTGGGATCTGGGCAGCGCTGAATAGTCTCACCACCAGACAACGGACTAGCTCATGCCCTGCAGGACCTGGCTAGTTCTCCCACATTTGGGAATTGCTCCAGCTGTGGATCAACAGATGAGGGACAGGAAAAAAAGTGCAGAATTTCCCCAGAGGCTCCCAACCCTTCACGGACTCCCCTTTCCTCCTCTGAGACTCCACTGCAGGCTGCCTCCCAGACTCTGCTTGGGGCCACCCCTGGGTTGTGAGTGTGGAGCTGCATGTCATGGGCCACTCCTGACTCCTTCCACATACTCAGGTGCGCTCTCCTGTCTTCCTCTTGATGCAAATTTATCCTCTCCACTGGGAGCTTAGAAGGGGACAGCACCCTTGGTCCAAACCTCTCCCCCCTGGTGGGGAGCTTGAGGCCAGGGAAGGGGGTGGGGAGAAGGGGCTTGGTTTAGGTTTCCACTGGGACTAGAAGCCAGACAACCCCCTCCCCCAACCCCTGCTCTGGGCGCCCCTCTCTGCCTCTCATGCAGGCTTCATCTCTACATTCTTTTCTCATTTCCCCCATTCCTCACTTCCCTCATCCTTCTTTTCTCCTTTTCCTTCTCCTTTCTGTTACTCATCCATTTATATATGACCCAGCTCCTTGCAAAATGGTGAAGGCTACTTCCTGCTAGGGGATTAGCCAATCAGGCCACCATGACCTCTGGGGTCCCACACTGTCCCTCCCAAGTCACCATCCCTGGCAGCTTACCTCCATCTGCTTCCCTGGGATGGGGAGGCCGCCAGGGACCTACCTGCTCAAACGGGCTTTTATCCTTGAGGTTTTTGGCTCCTAAGAAGACCCAGCTATCTCTGAAGCCCAGCTGCTTTGCATAGGAACTGCCCAAGCTGGAGAGGAGCTTCCTGGTCTCATCGTTCATTCTGCAGAGGACCAGAGAGGACCATGAGGTGAGGGGCGGGGAGGAAGGTCAGGTTCTCAAGTACCTGGCCTGGCCTCCCCTCTGCCCTACCATCTGCTGTGTGTAGCAGCTGTGCTGTGCATAATTGTGTCCAGGAGGAAAGGGCCGAGTGGTTTTGCTTCTGTTTACAAATACACGTTTCTTTGGAAAATATGGAACATCACAGAGAAACTGAAAATTACAGTCTCACTCGCTTGACATAATCGTAAAATTTTACTGTGTTTCCTTAGGGTCTTTTCCCCCCACGCACTGGGGGATCCTCCCAATGCTTTGATAATCTGTGTCATTTTTCACCTAATACTAAAGGGTGGGCATTCTTTCATTCCTTAAACCATTTTCTGAATCATTTTTGATGCAGTATATCCTCTTTTATGTACATATATGTCCTATCAACATGTGTCAATTTCTGAAACTAGTTGGCCTTTATTGGACAGGGACAGAGTGTCCGGTTTTCCAATGTTGTAACCGAGGCTGTGATGAGGCTCTAGAACCCCTGTCTTTGTTTACTTGTCTGGTTATTTCCCTAGGAGAAGCTGCTGGAAGATCAAGCCAGCAGGAGAGCGGGGAAAGGCACTTACAGGGCTTGGAAGCATTTGGTTCCCTTCAACCCATGGCCTGGCAGGTGGAGGTTCCCACTTACTTGGTTCCTGGGTCATCATAGGAGGCCACAAGCACCAGCGCACCCTCTGGAATTTCTTTAAGGAATTTCACCAGGAGCTTAATGTCTGAGGGAGGAAGGAAAGCTGTCATTTAAGGGAAATAACAGCTGGTCATTCTCATTCTCTGCTGCCCTGATGATCCAGGAGTGGCTGGGGTCAGCAGGAGGGGACATCCTGGGTGGAGCTCCCTGCAGCCTTTGTCCAGGGGAGAGCAAAGTGCACAGAGCAAGTGGACCCTCATTCGGATGGTCAAGGGTGGACACTGGAATTCAAAAGTTCCACAGGCAGTTCTGATGTGCAGCCAGGAGTGAGAGACATTGTTCTAAGGGCCCTTGGGGACCCAAGGTATGGAGCACAGGCATCTCTCAGGAACTCTGGGCTCTTTGCACACCCCTTCCGACCCCCTGCTACACTAGTTAAGAACCTAACTTGTCTATGCTGTCTATAGGATATACTCACTGGACCACAAGCAACTCAGGTCACTGAGAGAGAACATCAGTGTCCTACAATTCTCCAGTTTATGCCAAGGAACAAGCCTCCCTTTGCATCTTTAATATCTCCCTGCACTTGTGAAATCTCTGCATTTAACAGAGAACAGGCCTAGGTGCAGCACCTGGGGTGGGGGGCATCGGCACCCAGCTCACTTCAAGGGTATGGATTTGTTTCCATTGTACTTATTTTTACGGTCACCTTTCTTGCACAAAAACTCGTAACTTAGGGCAGTGATATAATTTCCTTTTAACATATATTTAGATAAAAAAAGGGAGCCAATTCAAAGGAAAATAGTAATAATTCAGATGATACTCTGGATGTGGTGTAGCTGGTACAGGAGGCTCTTGAATAGTTGAGGAAGTATGGGCAAGATTGGCCTAGTGGGACAAGTAGGGGTGACATCTGTCAAATGAGGATGATTTGTAGCCCTGCCCACAGCATTTTTGTAAAGAGCAAATTGTGACAATGACTTGGGCATACGGAAAGCACACTATAATGGAATTGCAATTATTAGCAGGATTGGTGACATAATTTTTTGGATCCATTGCAAAATAAAAATGTGGAGCCTTTTGTTAAAAAATTATTAAGCATTTCAAGACTGAGAAGGCAGAGCATCGGACCAAACCTGAGTTTACTCTAAGCGCAGGGTCCTGTATGGCCCACACCCTTGAAGTTTTTAGTAATCCCCAGGGATCCCTGGGACCTAGGGGAAGAATCAAATCCTGACAGCAAGGCCAGCTGCCAACCAGCTCAGTAACACAGAGGCCTGCAGTCAGTGACCACAGTGGCTCTGTTAGTGCAGTGGCCCTTGATCTCCTTTTTAAAAAGATTTTATTT